GTAGCAACAAAAACTGCGGGGAACTGTGCAAAAAACGCATCTTCGCACGGGCAGCCCGTGCATTGGCCAGTTATTTACACTGACACTGAGTTATTCAAGCTAGGATTACTTGAGTTGAGTCTGCTTGTTTGACTTCCTTCTGGTAATAGATAAAGGAGAAATTTGTTGTGGCCTACATTATTTTAGTGCCCGTGTTCTTCCACGTAAGCAGTTCAGTCATATAAACAGATGTATTAATGGTAGCATCCCTCTTCTTTCGCCAACCATGTTGTTCTGTCTCCACTATTCACCCAGTTTTGGTTAAATTTTGCCGTTTTCTGCATTAGCTCAAAATGATAAATGAATTTTTTCTACGTTACGACTGAAAAAGGAGTAACGTTTCTTAGCTTTGGCACATCTTTCAATGCGTTTTTACTTATTTATGCACTTTCAAGAACGCATATTGTCAACAGGTTTTATGCACTATCACTGTTATTGTTCAAGTTAAGTTAGTAGTGCTTACACAGCGCGATCATGCAACTTCATTGTATGATTTCACTTTTCAGCACGGTTTAACACCTGTTAATCTAATTTTATTTGCTGCAGTCACCACTCTTCCCTTTACGAACATGCCTTTACCAAATAATGAATATACAATCTATAAAATCAACTTACTCTTTATCAATTTCAGCAGTGTATCCGGAGAAAGGAAGGAAGATTCGGACGTGTCGAGCGATGATGGCTTATGCAGTTCAAAGCAACATCAGCAGCAGCCGCAACAGCCCCCACATATGATGCTAAATCCAGCAATGGCAATGCCGCCAACAGTCCAGGACACAAACTGTCTGGCCGCAGCTGCTTATAGCAATCAACTGGCCGCCGCGGCGAGCACAAACCCATGCTTCAATTTTGCTTACAATACACATCCCTCGATGCAGTACATACCGAGTGCCGATATGCTACACATGACCACCAGCTATCAGTCTTTGTGATGTTAGCTCTTCGTTCATTAGCTTCCCTGCAAAGTTATATATAAAAAATATTTTGCATTTTTGACGCATTTCTGGATTGGAGTGTCCTGATATTCATGTCTTTTCATTCAAAAACCTCCCAAAAATTCATGTTTTTTTTTCAGCCTGAACGATTAGCGATTTTGAGAAGTTCTGTTTAGTAAGCTGTTTTTACCAGTTTTGTTCTTTTTATCTAGTTGAAAGGCTAGTGCCAGATGCTAACCGTTTCAGTATCCTTTAAAAAATAATTCGCATGCCTTTTTTTTAAATTTCTCATACTTGGATCAAGTATGACTGTCACATGCGTCTATTTTAACGGGTACCAACTTTCATCACCCCTGGTGCTGCACTTTTCCTACAGTAATGCAGAGGTCTTAAGGGCATTTTCATGATGACTTGCATTCGAGTGATTAACAGCTTCGGCCCACAAGCTGCACTATCTCAGTAGACTCACTTTTTATGCATTTTTTGCAGCTATGCAATGCGGAAAACGCATATTGACGAGAGGTTGTCTGTATATGTGTGTGTGT